TTTGTGAAAGAGGTGCAGCTCTGTGAAAGTGCCACATACATGAACTTGTAATGTGTTTATCTCAGATAAACCTGGGAGCACAAATAACACAGGAACTCATTAATTTTTAGCTGTATGCAGCTCTGAAAGAAATGCTTTTGATCCTGCTTCTAACATTTCCCAGCAGGATACTCTTTTTTTTTTTTGGGAAGTATATAGCTCCATAATACTGTTTTATTTCTAAAATAGTAAATAAATCTTCTGCATGGTGAACCTGAACATCTCTTTTGCTAAATCCAGACTACTAATTTCACCTTATTATGATTCAATAACTGCTGAAAGTATTAACAGTTGATAAAGGAAAATGCAGTAGGGGCCAGGTAAGATATCTCATGGAGAGGTTCAGCTTCCCCAGCATATGATAAAATCAATTTAAACTAATTCAAAGTTAAACCCATGTGTGATTGTTATAACTCAGAAGCGGAACCACTCATACAAGAAGCAAGACTTGCACAGTGCAGTTATTATACCTAATTACTGCTCAACTCTAGGACTTGCTTACAGCAAAATCACCACAAAATGTAGACTAGCTTTCTGCTTAATAAGATTCTTCCCCTTCTTATTAAGTTTATGAAATCTTGCTCTGAGAATAATTCTTGTAGAAATCATAAGAATAAGATCAGGTTCTCCACTGGCAGCTTACTGTGGGTTAGCCATTCACATTTACTGCCCTTCTGAAGCTGATGGATGTATCTAAAAATAAACAATACTTTGGGCATTTCCTGTGTGATTGAGCCCTCCTGGCTGCAGGCTGCAGCTGCAAACCCTTGGGACTTGGGCATGGCAGCTTTGGGCTTGCTTGGCCATTGGAATTCCTGCCAGGAGTGCCTGGGAGTCCCAGCTCCACCTGGGCAGGGCTCACACACACCTGGGGCTCCTCTGCCCTCCTGCTCTGTGCTCCCCTGGCACCCAGAGCTCTCCCTGCTCTGTTGGCACAGTGTGGGCAGAAGGGGAGTTCACAGACGATCACAGTTCTTTTCATTTGGCGTCTTTTTTGGCTCAGGTTGTGAGCAAATTGAGGTTTAATTAGCACTGTGGATTGTTTGTCCTCGTGCAGCAGCGATGGGCTCCGCTGCTGTGGCTCCTGGAGCTGCCACCAAACAAATAAAGAAGGGTGATTTTCCAGCATGAGCCCAGTAAATCTGTGCTTTTGGCCACTTCTGTGTTTAATCTGGCTAAGGAGGGGAGCTGGGGGCTGCACTGCACCACTGAGTTCTCTGCTGGATCTCGTGGCTCTGGGAATTGAAGAACAATGCTGGCATTTGTTGTTTCTCTCATAAAATAGATAAATCAGCACTGTCTTGACAAATCTCTTGAAATAACTCACAAATGGATGGTTCCTCTGCAGGAACAAACACACTCTGAGGTCACTCTGCTCCTCTGCATCTGCAGGCATTCTGGGACAGCAAAAGGTAAAGATTCATTTGATTTTATACAAATTTAAGGAAAATCTCCATATTTTCAGTCTTTAAATGATCTCTGCAATGCCAAGTCATGGCTATAACAAGGTCTGATTGCTTTGCTGATCAAATCTCATCTTAGCAGTGCTCTGATGGAAAGATATTAATGAGTTCTTGGCTGCTACTCTTTTTTCTGTCAGACAGGAAGATAAACTGGAGCAGTTTAATTGGGAAATGGGCACTGGAGCAGCAGCAGCACGGAGTGTGGGGCACAGATCCCATCTCCTGTCTCTTGGTGAGTGACTGAACTGTCCTCTATGGGGAGTGCCATGGCCAGGGATGCAGAACAGGGCTGACTGCAGGGTGGGGAGTTCAGAACTGCTTCACTGGGGACATCTGGGAGTCACTCAGGGACTTCTGCAATTTGTAGTGTAGAGGGTGCACAATTACTTTAATGATCAATTCAGGCAGTTGTTTTCATGGATATGCTGTGGGGTGTTTGGTACTGAATTCTGCCTGAGTTTGTTTTTCAGTCTCATCCCTCCTGGTTTATGGTTTACAGCCACTGGTACCTGGAGCATTGTCCAACCTCTCTCTCCAGCAATCCAGACAGAAGTAAGAGGAAATGGAATAAATCAGCTCAGGCTGCTCTGGCCTTTCTGCAAGAACTCCACGGGCTGGCACAGCTCTGCAGCACAAGCAGCAGCTGGAGAGGCTCTTGCTGCTTCTGGGAAACACTGCAGGTGAGACTGCAGCTTATTGTCCCTGCAAAGGGAGCTCAGGGCTGTAATTCCTCATCTCTGGCATTCTGCTAAACTCACCTGCCGGGGAGAACACGAGAACAAGGTTGTGGGGTGGTCCAGCAGAGATCCCCTTCCCCTCCTGCCCAGGGTGCTCTGCCCTGGGATGGGACAGGGGCAGGGACAGAGGGACAAGGATGGGACAGGGACAGAGCTGTTCTGCTTGCAGCTCTGAGGCAGGCTGAGCTGGAGCAGGCACTCACACCCTGCCCTGGGCTTGGCTTGCAGTTCCAGTTGCAGAGGTGCAGTTGCAGAGGAGCAGAAGTGCAGAGGTGCAGTTGCAGTTCCAGATGCAGTTCCAGTTGCAGAGGAGCACTTGCAGAGGTTGCAGAGCTGCAGTTGCAGTTCCAGATGCAGTTCCAGTTGCAGAGGTGAGGTTGCAGAGGTTGCAGAGGTTGCAGTAATAGAGGAGCAGACATGCACAGCTCCCTGGGCTGGGCTGGCTCTCTCGGGAGGGGGTTGAGCACACACCGATTCCGTTTTAATTACAGACATTACTGTTGGTCTTTTCCTCCCTTGCTGGAAGTAGCAGTACTTAGGCACTGACCTGGAGCCATCCAATTAGCTCCCTCTGAAAGCCACCACATAATGACTTGTTAAAATCTTCCCTGATGCTGCGTTGTGGGCAGGAGTAATTATGAGCTGCACTCAGAGTATGACTTCGTTCTGAGTCAATGGATAACTTTTCTAATTCCTGGGAAATGCTTCTGTGAACTGCTGTGAGCCACAGTTATTCCTCAAGAGCTGATGCAATGGTTTTGTCTGCATGGGCAGCTGCAGCCCCAATGCCCTGTGCAGGAGGACCAGAATTCCTTCCTTGTCCATCCCTCAGCCATTCCCAGTGTCCATCCCACTGTCCATTCCCACCTGCCCTGTTGCTCCCATGCTTTGGGATGAACCCTCCAGTGATGCTAAAATCTTGCAGCATTCTACCACAACTGTTAATTTTTGCTGTTTGGGGCAGGAAAAGCTTCCCAGTATTTTCATTGCTGCCTGGGCAGCTCTGGCTCCTGCTCCAGAGTCAGATGTGTTGTACTCCCTGTGAGAGCTCCTGTGGCTGAGTCCTCACTGCTCTCCTCTGCCTCAGCTTCCCTGTGTGCTGCCCTGAGCACAGTTTATTGCATTTTTACCCAACTCCTAATCCCCCTGAAAATCCCTCCCAGTAAATAAAGCTTATTCCAACAGACCCATCCCATCCCTGCCAGAGTTACCTGCTCGCCCCTTGAGCAGGATCTCCTCACTGTTTACACTTTTTACACAGTAAAATGAAGACATCCTGGCACAGCTGAAGTCTCCAGCAGGGCAGATTTGTTTGTCTCTGTCTCTGAGCCCTTTCCCAGAGCACCCTGAGCCCCAAGGCTGGCAGGTACAAATGACACCTCTGGAATGATGCAGCTCCTCCCTGCCAGGACTCAGAACAGGTTTTCCATCAAGCTGAAACGATAACCAGGGATGAGAAAGGTGGCAGGATGCCTGAGGGATGATCCATGGAGTGAGGAGGAGACAGGAGGCACCACCCAGAGCCTGAGCTGAGCAAACCATGGCCCAGCAGCCCCAGGACAGGGGCACAGCACAATTCCATGGTCCTTAGCAGCACATTCCAGCACTGAGTGCTGCCCCTGGGCACAGCTGCTGCTCCTCAGGGAAGAGTCCGTGGATCTCTGGTCCTCTCAGGTTCCAGAATTGCCAGTCCCAGCCATCAGCCTGACCCTGAGATGCTGCCCTGGAACAGGGGATTTCTGGTGGCAGGAGCAGCTCCAGCTGTGCTGTGCAATGCCACAGAGCCCAAATCCTGCCAGGTGTTGCCTTCCAGCTCAGGGCTAAGGTTTAGTCACAAACACACCTGGAGGGACGAATTGCTGAACCCCATTCTGCCCAAGCTCAGCATAGCTGGGGCTGATTCTGGTCTTACTGACCCATAGATTTTGTTTTCCTTATGCCTGTAACACTTTCTGGTTGAAGACAACCATAATAATAACAGATTTAGGTTTGCTTTAATTTTTCTTACACCAGTATTTTCCTACCTAAACCTCTTGTGAGATATTCCCACTCCAGGGTGAATCTGGCCCCCAGGAGAGGCAGTTTAGGATGAGAGTTGCTATCTGAAGAGGAAAAAGTAAATTTACCCCCAGAAGGAAAGGAAACAAAGGCAATATTTATCCACAGAGTGCTGCTATAGAGACCAGGCCTTTTCAAAGAGCAAGAATAAAGAGAGATGTGTGCTAAATTATCTCTGCTTGCTTCTGTCACTGCAGTCAGGTTACCATCACTGCCTGCTGCACTGCCTCTGAGCAGCTCCACCACCACTTCTTTAGAGGTTTATACTTACAAAAAACTCCAGATTTGTGGGACTGGATGATTTCATTTTACTTTGACAATGAGGTTTCAGCTTTCAGAAAAAAAGCTTTTCAGTCTCTTTCCCAGACTCCAAATTAAAACAATAATTTGTCACGGAAAAGTACAAAAATGGGCTTAAGGAGAATGAAAGTAACATTGATTTTTTCTCTGATAAAGATGTACATCAGGAGTTGAAAGGAGGAGATGCAAATGAAGGAGGCTGATGGAGGCACCTCTGCAGATTGCGCACATTCCCTGAGTCTCTCTTTATTTAGGGATGCAAACTGAAAATAAAACAAACGTGGTTCAGGTTTTTGAGTGGGTTTGAAACTCAAATTGGCTGAAACCTTTCAGCCAAGTCTGTTTTATCCTATTTATAGCCTGTCAGCATCAGTAGGTGTGGAACAACAACCCTGCACTGCACTGCCCTCTGAGAGGGGTGTGTGAGGCACAGCTGTGTGCACACACCTGGGAAATGTTCCAACCTCTGAGCTCACCTGGGGGGGTCCCAAAACCAGCCCTGGCCATGGGTTTCCATCCAGAAGGAGTTTTCCTTC